GGTTGCTCATGCCTGTAATCCTAGCACTTTTGAAGGCACAGGCAGATGGATCATGTGAGGTCAAGAGTTTGACACTACATGGGCCAACATGGTGAAACCGCATTTCTACTAAAAATACAAAAATTAGCCGGATGTGGTGGTGGGTGCCTGTAATCCCAGCTACTTGGTAGGCTCAGGCAGAAGAATCGGTTGGGCCAGGAGGCAGAGGTTGCAGTGAGCAGCCTGAGTGACAGTGAGACTCTGTCTCAAAAAGAAAAAAAAAAAATAGTTTTGCTTTTGGAAACCAGCTAATGAGAGTTTTCATTGTGGGGCTGCCTCTTATTGACTGTGAAGATTGAGGAAGGTACTTCACCTGTCTGTGTCCGTCTGTAAAACAAGAACAGTAATATCTACTTCATACCATTATTGAGAAGCCTAGAAAACGTTAATGTCCAAAAAAACACTTAGTATAATGCTTAACACACAGTAACTTTATAATAAATGTCAATTATGCTCATTATTTCATTATCAATTTTTATATGAAACAAATCTAAGAAGGTGGCTGTTCCAGACTTTCATTACATAGTAACTGAATTGCCAACTGTCTTCTCTCCCTTAGTTTCCAGTCGCACTAAGACAATTTCTGGCTCTCCTTCCCATGTAACTCAACCTATATAAAATAAATTCACATTCACACTGAAATGGACATTCCAGACCCTGTGACACAGATTGTCTATGAAAAATGAACATACTGAGATGATGGTTTGGGCTTGAAGAATTGAGTCAGCATCAATTCATCTTCGGAGATAAATCAATTCTGGGTGCAAAGACAAGACTGGATCAAAATGCCCTGAGAATGATGATTCACTAAGGTAACAACAATAGGTGGGGTTTCTTCTGGTTAGTCAGTGGTACCTCTTCCCGTATCCACCTGGAACCCATTGACGATTCCCTGGGAGAGTCCCAGGGTAAATGGGAAGGGGTAACATTGTCCTTGGTTGCTTGGGATCTGGTAAGCACATGCAATTCCACATCAAGAAACAGCAGAATATGCTGAGGACACATCATTTTATAATGCTGGAAAGAAAATTTATAGGGATTCCTGTAAACTTTGAATGCCAGCTCAATTTTAAAAGTACTAGTCTTCTTCCAAGTTGAAAAAAAAATTAGGGAGAACTCAGTTCATACAAGAGTGAGAAATTTATTATGTATGTAAGTTATCATAGTGTTAGTAAAATGAGATATGTTGATTATAGCCTGGCCTATAATTAGTGCCAATAGGATGAGATACAGACATACTTGCTTGCCATTTTTTTCTGACAACCCACTGACAAAGGTATTTATCTGACTGGTATACACCATATCTGTGAATGATCCTAGTTGTCAAATGGAAGCAGAACCAACTGGGGCATAGGTAGCCTTCTATGGATTGAATTGTTTCCCTTACAAAGATATGTGGATGTCCTAACCACCAGTGCCTCAGAATGTGATCATATTTGAAAATAGGGTTATTGTCATTATAATTAGTTAAGAGGAGGTCACAATAGAGTAGGATTGGCCCTTAATCCAATATAACTGGTGTCCTTTTAAGAAGAGGAAACGCATAGAGGAACACGGCATGTATAAACTCAGATGTACAGAGGGAAGATGGCATAGACAATGGAGGCAGAGATGAGTGACACCGCAGTCAACCAACGACAGCAAGTATTGCCACCCGACAGCGGAGGGAGGGGATGGAAGGAAGGGTTCTCGTCTTTAGGTTTCAGAGGAATCACAGCCCTGCTGACACTTTGATATCTGACCTCCAGAACTATGAGGCAATAAAATTTCTGCGGTTTTAATTCACCCGGTTTGTAGTATTTTGTTATGACAGTCCCAGGAAACCAACACAGGGCCGTGCCACCCAAAAGCAGCCATTAGCACCCTTCGGTCTACAATAACCCTACAGTTTCTTAAGGGGCTATTCTACATTAAACACGTGTTTGACATGAGGCTGGAAAACGGCAATGCTCACCTTAGGCATCACGTACAAACAAGTAGGAATATTTCGTGAGGCTCCAGATAATGTGTTCTATGTGAAGATGTCTTTCTGTTACTGGTATATGAGCTCAGATTAGCTACTGCATTTTCCTGCTGAAAGGAAGACCCAAGCCATGATTTAATTAGTCAATCTCTTGTAAATTGACGGTTTAGGAGAGAATGGCTGTAGCAAGATATCCTTGTAGCATTTTTATCCCTCATTGATTCTGCTCTGGTAAGCACATGCAGTTCCACATCAAGGAACAGAAGAATATGCTGAGGACGCATGATTTTATAATGCTGGAAAGCAGATTTATAGAGATTCCTGTGGACTTTGAATGTCAGCCCAAATTTTAAAAGTGCTAGTCTTCTTCCAAGTTGGTTTTCTTTTTAATTTTTTTTTAGGGAGAATTGAGTCCATACGACAATAATAAATTCATCGTGTCAGTTATCCTAGTGTTAGTAAAATGAGATATGTTGATTACATTCTGATCAAATACTGCATCTGGCAGTAGTAGAATGCTTTATTCAGACATTTCTACTTGAATGGGTCGGTTATTAGCCAAGAAATAAACTGGCTGATCCCATGAAAGTATTTATAGTGAGGGTGGTGCAGTTGTAAAATCAAGGGTGCCATAAATTTTGTGCCTGGTAGCTCTTCAAACAGGCACGCATGCTCTACATGGATGGCCGTGCATTTCAGCTGCAAGGGCAGCCCAGTCTCACCATGTCCCTTTGCCCAGTCTCACCGTCTCTCTTTGCCCAGTCTCGCCGTGTCTCTTTGCCCAGTCTCACCGTCTCTCTTTGCCCAGTCTCACCATCTCTCTTTGCCCGGTCTCGCCGTGTCTCTCTGTGTCTGTTACTGTGGCAGCACGCAAAGCCCAAGCCTGTTGGCAGAGCTGATCATTTCTTTTCTTAACGTGATACCACTGCTTTTGGGTCAGGTAAACTGTGAGGAACCAGAAGCAGGGCTTTCCAGATAGAAAGCTGCTGTATTTGCCAAATGAGTGATTTTGAAAATTGGCCTCCCTTTGCTGAAACATGTTTTTTTTTTTTTTTACATTCTAAGAAACCTTCAGTATTAAAGACAAATGTGTTCAGGACACGGGAGTCAAATTGAACACTATGCATCCTATTTTTTTTAAAGATCTTCTGTGGAATGAAGACTAGTCAGATATGGGCTTCATTTATATTCCATCATGCTTTTCAGTGGCTTCATAGTGAGGGTCCTGGGGGACCACATAAGCTGGCTATGGCCAGGATAATAGAACAGAACTCTCTGAACCCTATTTACAGTAGCACCCCTTAGTCTAACATAACACGGGGAGCAACAAGTTGACAGGAAAGCTGAGGAGTGGGGAAGTCCCCTGAAGGTATGAAAGACAGAAGTGCCAAGTCTCCTTTCTAAGGCACATGATGGATTCAAGGGAAAGTCACATTTGACTAAAGCCCAAGGGAGTGTTGCGTCTGATCTTGTTTCTTGGCAGAAGATATGGCAAACTAAGAGTCAGATTAATATGTGGGAGCCAAAATAAATAAACAAATAATTGAATAATTCCTGGAGGTTTCAGTGGGGAGAAACTCCTCCGCAGCTTAGTACCGAGACAGAACCGGGTGAAACTGAAACAAATACATCAGCTGCCAGAAGGTCTGTAAATGCGAAGTTGTTAACGAATAGCAGCTGGTAATCAAGGTCTACCAATGGACAACCAAAAACAGCACACAGCTCACGCTCCCAAGGATCAGCCTTCCCAGAGTTTTCACTTAAGTGGCCACCAACCAGTTGTTAACCCATGCCTTTGGACTAGAGTCTAGGGCTTCGTCCACTACCTTAGAGTGACTTCTATTTTTCTAGTCACTGATAAATAGAACAAACATCTGAGATGTTTTAGCTATAAATGCTTTACAACTGCTATTTATGTATTACCTTTTGTTACACCTGGAAGAGAAGGGGAAACAGAAAGAACATGCCATCTTGGCCAAGCATCCAAGACAAAGAAGTTAAATGAGTTATGGGAGTTCACCTGGGAGCCAAGACGCTGCACCTCATTGTTTATTAGTCATCCACTCATGTATTTTGCGTGTCCATCAGTTGTTCTTGGCCCAAAGGCCACTGCAGTTGCAGATGTGGCAGTGCCATGCAGGGGCAAGTTGGAGGATGGGCACTGAAGGGGATGCACAAGCCCTGTAGCCCGGAAAACGGCAGGCGTTTACAGCGGCCCACACTGTTGCCATGTTTGTTTTGCACGTTGTCTATTTAAAGAGATTTGAGAAAGAAATACCTAAGCCGTTTTCTTATTGCATAACAATGGAGTATGGTTCTGTAACAGTTTGGATGGGGAATCATTTGTTTCAAAATGGGTCAGCTGAAACATCACCCGATTGTACAGACAGGTGAGGCACTTGGTTATGGCGCGCATGCCTGACAAACACACGTTGGCATTGAACTCTCCACGTCTTTCTTGAGTAATAAGGTGTTAAGCTCAATCCAGCAGCAGAGCTATGTACAGAGAGACCTACATTCCCCTCCTCTTTTTGCCGGGGGATCTATCAACCCTAATTTTTCTTCTTTTTCTCTTTCCAGATTTTTCTCCATCTTCCTGGCACTTTTTCATTTGCAGCCTCGTTCACCCGTTGTGGTGGTTTAAAAACATATTTACACATTTTGAGATTCTCTTGTTTCAAGAGGTAGAGCTTAATTTCCCTCTCCTTGAATGTGAGATGGACTTGTTTCTAGCAAAATAAAAAGGAATGATTGTGTCTGACTTTGGAGATAAGTCATAAAAGCTTCATCAGCTTCCTGCTCGATCTCTCTCTCTCTGGTATGTGCTTGTCTCTGCATCTCTTCCTTCACTGATTGTCTGTCTCTCTTTCTTTTCTCTCTGTCTCTTCTCTCTTTCTCTCACCTTCTGTCTTTCTCTTTCTGCCTGTTTCTCCTACTCTGTCTCACTCTCTGTCTCTCTCTTTCCCTCTCTTTTTCACGATTTGATTCATTGATGCCAGTTGCCCTGTGGAAAGACTCACCTGCCAACCACCTGAAGCCTCCAGCCTCCAGCCCTGTGAATTAGCTCCTTGGACACACAGGTAAAGCCTTTATGGGACTGCAGCCCTTGCTGACTGCTTAACTCAGCCTTGTGAAAGACTCTGAGCCACAGCACCTGCTAAGTCATTCCCTGACTCTTGGCCCTCAAGCATTGGGTGTTGTTTTAAGCTGCTAAGATTTGGGGTAATTGGATATGCGGCTGTAGGTAACCACTATGCCCTGCACTTGTCTTTTCTACTACCCCTCTGACAGGGCAGCTCTAGTCTAGATCATTAATAGATCTAACCTGGCCCCAGATCTGTAAATGAAGCCCCAGTGATTAGGCTCCTGAAACCAGAATTCAGTGTTCCTATCAATACCAAAAAGATTGGCTCAAAAGCCTTAGCTTGTCCTTCTTGCTCTTGCTGTACTTCCTGGGAACGACTCATCACCAACTTATCGCAAGCAAACATTCTTTAGAGGAAGTACGGGAATCTGTAAGGGGTTTTGTGAGAAAGGGCCTTGCTTGCTGAGAGCTGAGATGCTATTTCATTTCATGGCTGTAACACCTGCCATTCATTTTAACTTCCCTTCTTTCTTCCTGGCTACTGCCAAGCCTCTAGTCAACCCACTAACAACTCTGATCCATTCTGCCTCCATGTTAGCTCCCACACTGGTCCTCTCCTATCCATTGCTGTGTCTTTAGTTTCTACCTTCATTCCTTCATTCCTCTTACCAATAATTTTCTTTTTGAGATGGAGTCTTACCGTGTGGCCCAGGCTGGAGTGCAGTGGATGATCTCGGTGCACTGCAACCTCCAGCTTCTGGCTTCAAGCAATTCTCCTGCCTCAGTCTCCCGAGTAGCTGGGACCACAGGTGCGTGCCATGACACCTGGCTATTTTTTATTTTTATTTTTAGTAGAGATGATGTTTCACTCTATTATCCAGGATGGTCTCAGTCTCCCGACCAGCCACCCAAAGTGCTGGGATTACAAGCATGAGCCACTGCACCCGGCCCTTGTCAATAATTTTTTTCAGGGCATCTTTAATCACAGCATTTCCATTGTTTCTTCAATTCCTCATGCACAGAGCTGATATTTACCTCCTGAAAGTAATACCATGAACTACGTGACTTTCACAGGCATTCACTTTATTCCAAGTTGCCCACAGTTAAGGTCTAGTTCTTCACTGAGGCGGGGGATTTGCTCTCCACACGAACTCCGAGTTTCTTTATCTATACAGCTCACCCATTCCACATACAATTTCTCTTTTCTTCCATCCCAGCTTGTCCAGATTCTCTCTTCAGACCAGATTGTATTGTTTTCAGCAGCTAAATATTGTGGTAATTCATTACTGTATGGCTATAAACGGTACACATGAAGACTTGTCTTTTAACACAGCTCCACTGTCCCTTTGGTAATTTTTAAGTTTATATTAATATGATTCCCATAAACAATTATAATTTATATCCTATGGCTTTTAAGAAACAATGAGCCACATAATTGCATGTTACTGTATCTCAGATATATGACCATAGGGAAATCATTAAAATATATTGATCTCCAATCTGCTAAATTGGGTTTTTGGATTATGATTACTGAGGTCCTCGATCCCGTCTAACTTTCATCTGTTTCAATCCCATGTGCTTCTAATAGTGCCAAGCGTGAAGGAATCCAATTAAAAGGGTCAAATACTTGAAATCTTAGCCCATCGGTGACCATTTGTTGAGTGACTACTGTGTCCAGAATTTTGCCACAATGAATCTCAAAACCCCTCATGTGTCAGATCATTTTGCTGAAGCCATTGATATTTTTAAATTTCCTCACGTCTTCCACTTTTACAACGACTTTTATCCTGACAACACTTGAAATGAATGCTGTTTAGAGTGGGGAAAGGGCACCCATACAAAGGCTGTGCATCTGTGTTAATGGCTGCTAGTGGCTGTGGAAGAGTAGCGGATATGGGGGATTGACAAAGGCTATTAGGTGGGGCAGGCCTCATGGGCAGGCAAGCTGGGCAGTCACAAGTACCCAGGCCCAGAGGGAAACCACACTTAGATCAGTGTTCTGCTGTTGCTGATCTTGAAATTCACAACAAGAACAAGACACCCGCATTTTCAGGCACACTCAGCCCCCGCTATGGTCTGAATGTGTCCCCAAAATGCATATGTTGAAATTCTAACCCCCGAAATGGTGGCATTAAGAGGTGGGGCCTTTGGGAGGTGGTTGGGTCATGAGGGCAGAGTCCTCGTGGATGGGATTAGAGCCCTTAGCAAAGAGGCTCCAGAGAGCTCCCTTGCCCTCACAGGAGGTGCAGCAAGAAGGTACCTTTGGACATTGGATTAGCTGGCACCTTGACCTTTCCCTGAGTCCAGAACTATGAGAAGTACATTTCTGCTGTTTATGTATAATCCACCCAGTTCACGGGGTTTTGCTATAGCAGCCTGACCGGACTAAGACAGCCTCACAAATTCTGTAGCCAGTCATGTCCTCCGGTGATTCAGATAAGCTCTTCACTCTCTCCCCTGCTGGTTAACGATTAGTAGAGGGGAAGATGTTGTCCTGGGGTTGCTGTCAGATAACAGTTTGTGTGTAAACCATTTATAAAGAAATTGCTTCAAAGGAAAAAAAAATGAGGAACTGAGAGGGAAAAGACAGGAAAGGGAAAGAAACAAGGCCAGTGTATAATTTTAGGGAAAGTCCCCAGAGGGTTGCTTCGGCCAAGCCCAGAAGGGAGTGTGGGTGTACAATATGCTCCCAGTGTTTGAACCTGAGGTGAGGCAGCTGAGGTTCTGTGCCCCACTATGTTCGGGGACAGGCGTTGGGTATGGGCCTGGGGCCCTCCAAAAACATGCCATTCCCTGCACCTGTAGTTAATGGAATCCCATGATATCATTTAAATGTTTGACCCTTCCAAATCTCATGTTGGAATTTATTCCCTGATGTTAGAGGTGAGACCTAATAGAAGGTGTTTGGTCATGGGAATGGATGCCTCATGAATCGATTAATGTCCTCTGGGAACATTGACTGAGTTCTTGCTTTTTGAGTTCTCGTCCTTATCAGTTACCACAGGAGCTGGTTGTTAGAACAGGAGCTGGTTTTTAGAATAAGAGCTGGTTGTTAGAAGAGCCTGTGCTGCCCCTTTCTCTGTCTTCTTCCTTTCTCACCATGTGGTCTCTGCACATGGAGGCCCCCCTTCCTCTTCCACCATGACTGGAAACTCACTGAGGACCTCACCAGAAGCAGATGGCGACCCTGTGCTTTTTGGATAACCTGCAGAATTATTAGCCAAATAAATCTCTTTTATTTATAAATTACCCATCCTCAGGTATTCCTTTACAGCAACACAAATGTACTAAGGCCCTCTGGTAGCTAAGGGCAGTCCTCAACAGAGTTGCAGGTACAGACCTTGCATTCAGAAGCACCCTGAAGCTGGGAAGGGCAAATAATAACAGTGAGAGAAACTTAAGAGAATCTGTGCGGAGCACTGGCAGTGTTTGTCATAGTGGCCGAGCACCCTGAAACTAATAAACCAAGTATACTCTTCCTGAGAATGCTTAGCCGAAACTCCAGGCCTCACACTCCCACAAAACCTTTAAGTCACGACAAAGGAGAAACAGACATGATGTGTTAACTAATTGTATACTCATTGCCAGGTATTGTGCTATGCACTATGAAATAAACGCAGAAGGATGAGACAGGACTTTTGTTGTACTCAAAAAAGAAAAGGAAAAAGTAAGGGATACAGATATCCACTGTTAATGAAACATTTAGTATGAGCCAAGCACTGGCACTCAATGGTAAGGTTACAAGTGTGGTGCCATTTGGTCATTGCTCTTAGAAATCAATGGTGTTGAGAATGAACATCTGGCTGATCGACAGATGAACGACCCAGCCTTTAAAGTCTTTAGGAGAAACTCACAGGGTTCATTCTGATAAAAGAAGAGAATGTTTGTCTCTGTGTGTTCTCTGATGATGTTGGACTGAGTTTCTAAGAGTGAATAAAATGCGGGGGAGAGGGGCATTCCAGGTGGACGAATATTAGCAAAATACAAAGGCTTCCAGTCATTTATCTCCCAGCTCTGTGGAGTGAAGTGCTGGTGAGGAAGTGAGAAGTAAGGGAGACGGACATTTGCCCTTGTGGATCTTACATTCTTACAGCGAGAAGCCGACAAATATGCAGAGAAATGTCAAAATACGACCTTCAGGGACAGAGAAGTTTGCCGGGAACATCTCACGCCAGTGAGTGAGAGAGCACACTACATTCAACTGTCTGCAAGTAACCCAAGGAAGCTATGAGGCTGGACAGGTAGAACGGCAAGCGAAGACACCAGACACCGTGTGTCAAGGCAAGGGACTTCATGATATTCTCTTGTGAGTTAGGAAGAGCAGCTGGGGAAATTTAAATACTGGGTGGACATGGTCACACTTATGTTTTAGATACGTTAGTCTTGCACCGTTAGTCTATGTGGGGAGCCCACTTAGCTGCTATGGGCTTATCTGCAGTATGTGGTTGCACCAGTGAGTCTCTATGGCTTCTTTTATGTCTCCTATTTTAAGAGTCTCAGTTATGTAAGTCTAGGAGGCTTAGCTAGAGGAGTCTCTACAGACTAGTCACTCTGAATCTGGGGTGATCTCTTCTCTCCCATGGAGATCAGGCAATGTGCGGAGATACTTTTGATTGTCATGAGATTTTTACTGGTATCTAGTGGGTAGGAATCAAAGAAGCCGCTAAGCATTCTACAACGCACACGCAGCCCACAAAACCAAGGATGATCTGATTCAGGACGTCAGCGGGGCAAGGCTGAGAAATGCTGCCGTGGATTGATGACACAGAATTTTCTGAAGACGAGAGGGTGTTTTCTGATGAGGAGAGAGTGGGGGAAGTTGGAAACAATTTATGTGGGAAATTCTTTGAGCATGGGCTGATGGCAACAGCTCTCAACCACAGCATTGCCCAACCTAACACGAAGGAGACTGAGGCACCCTTTACATGCATTGTAACTAAGAACAAAGCGTGAGGTCTGCAGATGTCAGCGTCTCTCTTTTATAATATCATTCTC